GTCTAAAAATTAAAGTTTTCAGCCAAAGACGCGCTCTACGTAAAAAAATCGTAACTTCTAAACGGGGGCAACTGCAAACCTGAAAATTTTCCTTAACATAGTGAATATTTGCATCCTAGAACTGAGAAATTTTCATTGAGATCGCACTGAGTGTTGATTTTTTGCTGCAGTTTGAGTCTAAAAATAAAACTTTGCAGCGAAAAACGCATTCTCCGTAAAAAATCGTTACTTTCAAACTGGGGCAAGTACGCACCTGAAAATTTTCCTTAACATTGTGAACGTCTGCATCCTAGAACTGAAAAATTTTCATTGAGATCGCACTAAATGTTGATTTTTGGCTGCTGTTCAAGCGCGAGTCTAAAAAAGTAAAAAAAAAGTTGGCCCTTGAAACACTAGATGATAATGCCATGGACCAATAAAAAAATTAAAAAAGACAAAACATTTTCAATTCCACAAAGGCGAAAAGGACGACCTGGATGCAGGCTTAGCATTGATTCAAAGTTGGCGGAAGAAGGAAAAGACTCAAAAGAAAAATGTACTAATTGTAAGTAGAACAAGCACGGCAAGCTAGTTGTTCAAACCCGAAAAAATGAGAAGGTTGGAACATCTCAAATATGAGCACCAAAACTTCTCTCTGCAGTGGACAAATGTAAAACTGGTGACCAAACTGGTCAAGCAGTGTTCCAAGATAAATCGATCAACATTGCAACGTAAAAGAAACGAGAAAACCCGAAAATTAGCGCTGGTGGCACCCTCTAAAATAGTGCTACCGGGCTAAATTTTGAGGAGATTATTATTGCATCAGTGGGAAAAACTCATTGTAAGCTCTGAACGGTATTTTGGTGTGATTTTTCAGTTTTCGCTGTTCGGATGGTGGTTGTGTGCCCTTCCATCTGACTTGCGACGGAATCTCCCATTGCGCCGATGGTTCCGACGAAGAGGCTGGTTATTGCAGCTACCGCACTTGTCCGCTCAGCTGGCTGAAGTGTCGCAATAAAAAATGTGTGCCCATGAATGCAACTTGCGATGGAGTGGACGATTGTGGCGACTCGTCCGACGAGCTGGAATGCCGATGTCCCGAGAACGAGTATTTCAGGTAGAGCCTCAAACGACTCCCGGACGTTTTTGACTGGATCTCTTTCAGATGTACCAACGGCGAGTGCGTCTCGAGACTGGTTAAATGCGATGCCGATCCCGATTGTAGGGACAATTCCGACGAAATCGGCTGTCCGATGCCCAATTGTACCCTCCTGCATAACGCGGACTTCCGCAACTGCAACTCCACCACCAACTGCATCCACAAAGACTGGTTTTGCGACGGCGAGGACGACTGCTGGGACAATTCGGATGAAATCGGTATGCGTTCCTGCGAGGCCACTCAACCAGCCTCACTGTCGCCACTTTTTCAGGGTGTCCAAAGCGAGTGGAGGCGTGCGATTGGTTGAGCGAGTGGCAGTGCCAGTCGGGCGCCTGCATCGATTTGACTGCGCGCTGCAACACCAAGCTGGATTGTCAGGTTGGAGATGTTTTAGCGGGGGTTGTTGCTGTTTGGGCTTACGCATTCGGCTGCTTGCAGGACGGGTCCGATGAGGTAAACTGCGGCGTGACCGGGATGGCGTGTCCAGCCAATCATTTCCGTTGTGTGAGCGACGGAAATTGCATTCCGACCTCTTGGGTGTGCAACGGAGTGCCAGACTGCCATGACCAGAGTGACGAGTTGGACTGCAAACACCAATGCGGGTGAGAAATGGGTTTTGTTCAACGAAAAGGGCTCAAGCGTGACTAGTTTTTCCAGAGCCAACAAATTCATGTGTGTGACGGGAGGCGAGTGCATCCCAAAGTCCTGGCAGTGCGACGGTACTCCTGACTGTCCCGATCAGTCCGATGAAACTGAACATTGCAACCATACGGAATGCACCCAGCAGGAGTTCAGGTAACGATGCAGGCTGTCTACTTCAAACACTCTGTATATGCCGGCGATTTTTCTAGATGTAACGCGACAGGCCGATGCATCCCCAAGAGCTGGATGTGCGATGGAGAGGTTGATTGCGAAAACGGCCAAGACGAAAATCCGGCAGGAGGTTGCAACACCAGGACGGCCTGCACTGATCAACAGTTCGAGTGCGGCAAAGGAGGTCATTGCGTGAACCGTTCGTACTACTGCGATGGAGACAAGGTGGGTGGCAAGTCAATGTAAATTGTGGGGATTTTTCATTGAGCCAAGGGGCGAAACACCGAATTTTGCACCTGGCGTTTCAAATGTCCATTTCGCAAAAACTGGACCAGCTAA